GCTGTCTCCAGTCACTCCCATGTCAGTGGTTACCTCCTTACAGGCCTTGCCATCCGGCATCGTCGGCAGGGTAGGCGAGGCCACACAATTCTAATACATTTATAGTAATATATAATGCAGTGGCGGGCCGTGCATTTTATACCTGGGCCTTCACTGCTGTCTGCAGCTGAAATACCACCTTATAACCTCATGATGGCGCCACAGTTATTATTCGTTTCTAGGGCTGTAACTATTTATGTATACGTATTAAACCGCTCGGTACGAGGCTTACAAACCGAACAATACGTTTGAATAATATTAGTGCATTTGGAAAATGCAGAAGCTCAAAGCGTGGTGAATATAATGTTTTCTGCGCCCATGTAGGACAGTGGTTCTCAACTGGTCTGGCTGCGGGACCCACCATCACCCCTTAAAAACAAGCCACATCCGCGATCCACTTTTCTCTTTTGAAAACCGTCTTATGATTTTACTTTCACAACGCATACAACAATCGTCCTGCTCTGCTATGTCTTTCCTCGTCTCAGCCCCGTGTGTCACGGTGTGTGTACATCTCACTCGAGTCAGGAAACTTGTCAGAATACCCATATTTGATTGGCTGAGCTGCATCACGTGATGTGATTCACAACACATTGGTCGGTGTTTTTCCTGCACCGCTGAACAAGTGCCGTAAATCCTGGAATAATTCCGCTGCATAAAAAATATCCTTCAAAATAAAAGCACAAGATTTATTTTTATTTATTTTTGTCATGCAAAGGCCCGTGACCCACCGAAAACGGGTCCGTGACCCACCAGTTGAGAATCACTGATGTAGGAGACAACGGTATGTGTGACCTCTGTATGTGTGACCTCTGAACTGGAACAAAAAAACACCACAACAAAAAACAGCTGGGGCTCCGCAAGTGTTCTGGGAGGCTACGCTAACTAGCTTACAACAGCAGCAACACGCATTCTGCCACACACTCAAGGGGACAGGCCATTCAGATATTAGATATAAAAAAACAAACGCACTTGACTTACCAAACTCCATGCTCCTTTCTTTGTTGACAAAGAGTTTCATCCCAGTTAAATGATCCCAACTCACAAATCCATTTCTCCTCCTCCGTCAGCCATTGACTGTTTAAAAAACAAAGCCAGGTAAAAAAAAATAATAATCTACACCAAGCAAAATGCAAAAAATGTCATCATTTCTTCCATGCACGTCAAAGAATACGCCCAACGTGTCAAACTGATCTTATTGGTTGAAGACTATGACAATCAACAATGTCGTCCCCATTCACTTAAACTGCACATGGATGCACTTGTAAGTCTGCAGGCCTCGGGCCTCTGTTCTTACCTAGAGACACAGAGGTGAAATCTGATTGGATAAAAGCTCTACTTAAAACAAGCTGCACTGGAAGCAGAGCAACTGAGGAAGACAGTAGCTGTGCAATGAGAAAATAAGATAATGGGGAAAATATTTTTATAAATTATAATACATGTAGTGTATTTAAGAAAAAATATTAAATTATAAAATAGCTATAACTGTGATTCTGTTTAGGCCAGCAGAGAAGGCCTTGCAGGCCCTGACGGCCCACCACTGATATAATGAATCAATTCTATTTTTTGCATCATATTTGGCAGCGGACATTTCGGTCTGCTAGTCAGTGCTGTGTTCCTGTGTTTAACTATCTATTGAGACGGGTTTTTTCAGAATGAATGACTAATATTTTTGAGAGTAATTAACTAGCATTGACAGTAATCCGTTGATTGTTGCTTGTTTCCATAGTTAAAGTACAAACAGGAACTAATGCAGAATGACTTTCCATGTTGTGAACTTACCAAAAATGTAAAGGAAGGTAACTAATGCAGATGTGCGAACACACACACACACATAACGCAGGAGAGACTGACGGTGTGTATGTGCGTGTGTGTGTGTGTGTGTCTCAGCTGATCCAGGCGGCCTCTAACTTCCGTAATGGGCACACTGGCCAGCTGTCTGCTGTCTCTGTCTTCCTGCAGCTTGCTGGATCCCTCGCTCGCATCTTCACCTCACTGCAGGTAAGAGGACTGTGTGTGTTTCCCGCTGTAATATGTTGAAAAGTACTCTCTTATTATCAGCCTGCATTCACGTCGCACAAGTAAATAGTTTTGAGCCATATCGCCTTCTTACAGGAAACTGGAGACACTCTGATGGCCCTCACCTACGTCATATCCTCCGCCTGTAACGGCGTCATCGCCCTGCAGGTTCTCTACTACTGGAACAGCTCCCCGGAACGCAAGAAGAAGAGCGAGTAGGCAAAGGACACTAAGCTTCAATCATAGAGCAGCACGTTTCTTTCCATAGCCAACTTTTAGACGTTCTCCAAGAGGTGTCTTCAAAACTTGAACTAATTGTACAGAGTCACCGAGGAGTGCGGGGACATTGGATCTGCTGGACAAACATTTGACTTTAAAGCAAGGACGTGAACAGAACATGCCAAATATATCTTCCATGTGGGCCCGCTGGCTTTATGTCGCTGGGTCCAGACTGCCCTGCTGTGTAATACACTGAGATTACATTCCTCTTGATCCTCATCTCTGTCAGGCTCCGTTCACACTGGTGTGTTCAAATGTTTGGGAACATTTAGTGTACTTGTTACCGGCACCAGACCTAGGGGAAATCTGGACCGGCAGCAAAGGTTACACAGGCTAGCAAGCACTGTGTAGCCAACTGATCTAACTGTGGATTAATACAGAGAGAGGACCAACGTTGGCGTCATGCTCAGGCCAGAGCTAGTTTTATTCTGAGCTGCGCATGAGCGGAGCCTGTAGCTACGGTCTCTCTAATGAAGGGGTCTTCAACGTTATTCAGGCCAAGGACCCCCAAACTGATAGAGAGATGGAGCAGGGATCCCCGACTATATATATTGTATAAAATTGTGTTTTATATTACACTGGGCCTAGTGCCATGTATAAACATACTTTGTTATTATGCATTCAATACTAAGCTATTAAAATAATACACAGGTCCATATATTCATGTTATGTGCAAGGTACAGTGAGTAGGGTGGCCGTGCCACTGCCATGCATAAACATACCTGTTATCTTACATACAATACTGAACTATTCAAATAATGGACAGATTCATGTTTGGAAAACAAAATTTAAAAATAGTAAAATTTTCTAATCAACCAAAAATTTGCAGACCCCCTGTTGAAGACCTCTGCTCGAATGGATCCACAGCAGCACCAAAGCGCCATCTACTGACGTGATGGTGTATTACCTCGATATAAAGTCTGAAGAGTGTTAGAATAGTTTAATTATTAATAAGAAAGATAGGGGGGGGGGGACTTTAATAAAAACTAAACATGTAGCATTTCCAACCTACTACACTCTTGTATTTTTTCCCATCCAGGGCCTCCGATTACCGTTCTCATCATCACGCTTATTTTTGTGGAAATGATTTGAAACAGTTTTGACCTTGGATGCCAGTAATGATATGTTGTTTCATCATTTCCCATAAACAGAATTCCACACCAGCCCCCATAATTGTAAGGTCCCTTACAATAACACATGAATGCAGTTGATACCTTGTTGCCCTCTTGACAGGAGCTTAACTCCCGCTATACTCTCCCCCTTCCTCCTTGTTACTTGTTTATCTTCCACGTTGTTTATCTTGGTGTTAACATGTCTGCACTATTCACCTTTATCTATCAAATTAAGTACATAACCTGCGTCAAATGTATTTTCAAAATAAAAGCCCGTCCGTGTTCATGGGAAATAAAATATAAATACAAATACATTACATACACAAATGTAACACATTAAATGTCTTGTATGTCTTAGTATGGAGTCAGTCAGAGATATAACTAAAGGAATGGAGGTGGAATGGTGTTTGTATCTTATTCATTCGACTTCTTACCTTATAAGTTGTAACAAATTCCATAGAGAATGAATAGAGTATGCAAATGAGAAGAACTTAAAAACTAAAAATAATTTCAAAATTCTGTACACAATCTTTAAAGGTGGTAACAGTATCTATTATAGTGGCGATTGGGATGTGTAGTTTAAACATTATAAATTGAGATATATTTTTGAAATGTTGAGCTCCGTGGAGTTGATGGAGTTGATGGAGCCTAAAGTAGGCTTTATATATTTTTTTACTTACATATATTTACTCCTCCCTCCCCCTCTAACACCATCCCCAGAGTTGTTTCATTTTGCACATTTGAGGGTGGGTCAATACATGCATTTCATCCCTTTTTGCTGTATTTTGCACTATAAAATACTTCTGTTGTGACCATCATGATAAATTATAAAACAATCAACACATTCTCACTCCCATCTCCTCAACCAGTGGCCCTACACTTCAGAGTATGACGCTCTATGTGCCCCTCTAGCGTCCGTTTTTGGAGTGTCAGGGACTGCATGTCATTTCCACCTGTTACATGCATAGTGTTATTTCAAAATAAACTTCCATCTTTGCAGGAAGTTAGGTTTTGGCAGCAAATCTACTTCGTTTGGTTTAGCAAAAGAACGTGATTGACGTTGGCTTGACCGACTAACGAGTCAAGTGACTAATGACTGATTTGACAAAATAAGTCAGCGTTGACTTTTTAGTTTCACACGAGACACACACTGCGGCCTCCTGGGTGAGCAGAGTTTACAATGGAGTTAGTTGGTAGCTACAGACGCTAAATGGTGCCTCTGTATGTCTGAAGTTTGTTTGATTTTAAAAACAAGGTCTTGTTTTATTCTACCTCGGATGAGGGTATCCAAAAAACAAAAGCTCCTTTTTAAGACTTGTGCCTGTACTAACAAAAACCCTGGTCCTAATACCACAGATGTTAAACCACCTAAGCCTCCTCAGCAAGGTCAGTCAACTCTGACCCTTCTTGTACTGGTCCAAACATATAAACAGGCCCGTCCAGGTGAGCATGGGCACAGACAAGTGAATAGTTTGGGGCAAGAGGGACAGTAGGGTTGGGGGAGGGGGGGGCAGAGACCCCACATTCAGAGCTGCTGAAGAAAGGATTCAACTAACACTGGCCATCAGACTGTATTTTCCACGGTGTGAGAAGATGATGTGGACGGAAACACCACTGGGGCATATTCACACGTCACTCACTGACCGCCGGTTACCATGGCTTGACTTGTCGCCCCTGCAGAGGCGAGACCCTTACCTGTTGCCAGTCACTCTCAGTGGGCTCTTTGGTGAGGGTGCCGAGGGTTCAGATGTCTTCGGTCTCGGTAATCAGATAAGCCGTGTGCACAACAGGGGGGTGTCACACGGGAAAAGGAAAGTCTTTTCTCCTCACTTGAAGACATGTCTCCTTTCCTCTCCGTCCCTGTCCGTTCCCCTTCGATTAATTAGAATAGTGAGGGACCCTTCACCACTCTGATGGCAACAGAGTTAATGTAGTTACCACTCGAGACAGCAGAGGTTGCTGTTGCTGTTGACTGGGAATGAACCCGGACTGAAACACTGCATCTTTCTTCCCTCACCACTCACTGTTTCTGCCTTTATTTTTAAAAAACTTTTCACACTTTGCAGTATCATCATGTTCCACTACTTCTGCTGCAATGCACAGTTTAAGAGCAGCTAATGAGCACTTATTGACTCAACTTGGGCTGTCACTTTCTGTTTTTTCCATCTTTAGTTTGTGAGTGACTTAGGAGCTCAGAAGTCTATAAATGATAACTATATGCCAACAGTAAGTACATAATGAGGAAAGGTTTGTAATGAGCATGTCTCGAGTGGCAGGATGAGGACAATATCCACTCATGGCGACTAAAGCGTAGTTCAGCTTCAGTATGGTTGTGTTGAGTTACTTCACAGCATTTGGTTACGGTTAGGAAAAGAGTTGAATACACGGTGTGTTTAATGCAACATTGTTGGCTTATCTATGGTGTGCTATCTAACAAGCTGACTTTACTAAAGAACAAATTCCTAACGTGTCACAGATGAAGCTAGGAGAGTGATTCAGCCGAGTGTCAAACTAAAAAGAGATGAATCCACCTCAATTGTCCCTCCAGCTCCCTAACAGTCAAGATGCAACACAGTTATAATGTTTTTAATAGATTAAATCAGGAACCAATCTACATTATGTTCTCACACCTAATATCCCCCGCAGACACACATGTACTTTGTATCTTGTGTATGTTTATGTGGATGCATTTGTGGACGTATTTTAGATGATTTTCTTTTCTTTTTCTATTTTATTTCTCTCTATTTCTATTTTTTTTTTATAACCTCCTGTGGATAGGTGTTGTAAATTAGCGTTTTGCTACAAACACTTTACACAGTGCATGGTCCTTTTGCATAAATCTATGCTACAATTCTAATGCTACTGTGACGTCCACACCACATATACTGTAGATGAAAAAAAAATAAGTGTCGGACAAGATAACACAAAACGAGGATTTATTCATCTGGTATGGATCATAACATATCGGTATGGGATTAATATGTAGTTGCTCAGATTCAAAATGAGACCAAACTTTTGACAGTGTTTGAGCGACGAGAAAGGCCAAAATGAAGCCTGCAACAGACTTAGTATGTTTTCAGGCCGGCCGATTGCCGGAAATGCCTTTTGATTCTGTAGCACTTGTCAGCGGTCAATGACGGTACAAAATGTCAATAAAATGTGTTTTCTAAAAGTGTGAATCACTCACACACGCATGCCCGACCGAATACATAATCTCCTGGTGGAAATAATAATAAGCAATTTAAAGTTAAGCGCCTTAAAGAAAAAACAAACGAAATGCACATTTTGTACCACAGTTGTTTAAAGCCATCAAGAGATGTTGGCCAATATGGATGCAGAGGGTGTGTCGCATCACCTGCGTCACCATTCTACTCTCTGTTGAACAACCTTTTCTTCACCATGCTAACGGGTGTGTGCCGGAGTTCAGGGAAAGGGACAGGGTAGGTTGGCTGCCTGGGATCAACAGCAGCGTTTCGTTAAAAAGGAAAAGAAAGGGAAACTTCTTTTAATGAGAGAGATGGGTGAGGGGGGGAGGGGGTGGGAGGGCCGAGTAGCCGCAGGCTGGCTCATGTCTGATTGTGGAGCGGAGATGGTGCAGATTGGTGTGTTCGCTGGGCCCGATCACCTGCCACTTTTCATCTTGGGAGGTCTTTCTTCCCTCGTTAGCGTCAGACTAGGCTCACCACTCCACTGCTGCTCTGTGCTAACCTCGCTAAAGCTAATGTTTTAGGTACAGGTGAGCCACGGGTTACCTGTCATAAGATTACAACACTCTAAACTGGACTCACATGGTAAAATAAATTATAAAGATGAATAGTGATATCAACCCTGAAGTGAAACAAATGTCCTTAGCCAGTCTACTGATCCAAGATCAGGACCGATCGAGATGTTTTGTGAGGTTTAGGTGTTGGCCATCTGGGGTTAACAGCTAAAATGACCACGTGCACAGCTAAAAACACTGCTAGTGTGCACGTAAAGGTGCTAATTGACAGACAGGTGGATGACACAGATTAGAAGTCGACTGAGCTAAACAAAAATTAGCCAAATTATTTGTATATTAACAGCTGAATGCCCTCAGGGGCACCAGTGAATGTCTTGCCGAGGGCACCAGAGTGGGCAGAAAACGGTGAGTAGCGTAGCTACTTGTTTTTAGCAACAAAACCTTACAAAACATTAATTTATACTGGAATCTGTACCTAAAATGAAAATCTGATCTTCCAACTAAAGTACATCCCCAAATAAAGCCTCGACCTGCAGAATATTTGTGAGTGAGCAAATCTACTCCGTCCTGAAACTAAAAGGGAACGGAGCAACAATAAAACAAAAAGGAACAAAAAAGTTGATCGTAGTGGACCAGATAGAATGGAAAACAGCCAACTACCTGTTTCTACTGCAGGATGAGACCTGCTAGCATAATTAAACATGGGGAAACAT